AAATCCACCGAGATGTGGAGCAGAAACGATTTCGAGGATGGCCTGGATATCTATAAAGCGGGTAAGTCCCGGGACAGGTGGTGTTTTAGGGTTAAAACCGGGGAAATGATGGAGATTTGTCTCGCTCGTGCCTAACGGAATCTCAGCGCGCGACTAACGGCATCTTCTTATTGTTAGCTAGCTCAGTTAGCAAGGCGGTTATTTTTTTATTTTTTTTTTTGAATGTGGGCTTGGAAACCATTTTAATTTTCATTTACACTTGAATTAATTAGCCTTAAACCTGACATAACTCATTCACTGACACGCTGGAGGTATCTATCCCAATATTAGCAGTAGTTAAAACGGATAAATAATTAGCTTGCTAGCATTAGCTGCATCATGTTATAGCTTCACTGGTTTTCATTTTACTCCTGCTGCACACCAGGTCAGCGACTGTTACACAGTAAAACACCATTTTAGTGTTTATTATTATTATTAATATTTTGTATTTTGTGTGTTTTCAGGGTCAAACTAGCTGAATATTGCACAATATTTAACGCTAATGTTGCATAAATCTGGCAGCACTTCCTCACTTCCTCTGCTGAGTTACTACAGTGTAATTAGCATCAGATACAAAACTCCATAAAAATGATTGTTTTTTTCACAAATATGATTTGATTAGAGATTATACAATGCATTCTCAAGCTTTTTCTTTCTGTACATCCAGCAACACATTTAAATTTCACAAACATATCATTTTTATAAACATAATCCAACTACTCAAATAACTGAAATATTAGGTTCATGATTTAAACATATACAATAATCTTTTGGTTATTTATTCCAGATATAGAGATTTTATAACTAAGTTTTCCTCTAACAGATCACCTGAAGTGTAAGTTAATGTTTTTTATATACAGGGTGCTTGTTTTTTTGAGTTATTGAGGTTTAGATTCATGTCTGTTTCTGTCTAAACTAGTTATAAATTATAAATAAGCGTTACTTAAACTCTTGTGTCTCAGCATGGACTTCTCTAAAGCTGGACTTCTCTAAAGCTGGACTTCTCTAAAGCTGGACTTCTCTAAAGCTGGTTTCTCAGAGACAAGAGTCTCACATTATAATTCATAACAGTTCTCTGGTTGTGATCACGCTCACATTGCGACTGACACAGACAGCCGACGATAAATTTCCCGTGAGAGAGATTTTTCCGATTAAAACCTGACAGTGAGCGCTACTACGATGCTTATCGAAAAGCCGCCACGTTGTAGGATGACACCAAGCTCAAGTACACTACAGATACAGCAATGGTAATGGCAACGACAAAACGTGCTAACGAACACGTAAAATATCCGTACTACTTCAAGCTTACTTTGACACAGCTCGACACAGCTCATTTGCATGTAGCGACGCCCACAAAACTCCATAAAAGGTCGTGTGCACAGACAGCCGGGAGCACGAAATGAACTATCAGAGTAACGGCAGAAAGACAAGTGGAAGTTACTTTGACTCACTTCTATGCCAATAAAAATATTTAATAATTAATAATAATAATAAGCAAGCGCTGAATCTTTCTTCAGCTGAGGCATTTCTTTTACAGCTTACAGATCAACCCGTCCTCTTTTTATACACCGCCATTTCTTTAGTCATAATGAAAAAGTTTAATTTAGTTTCTGGGTTCCAATTAAGGAATATAAAAAATAAAGAAAGTGAGCCAACACAAACCCAGAAATTAAATTAAACTTTCTCATTATGACTAAAGAAATGGCGGTGTATAAACAGAGGTGGAAGGTGGAAGTTATTTTGACTCACTTCTATGCTAAAAAAATATTTAGTAATTAATGATAATAATAATAATAATAATAATAATAATAATAATAAGCAAGTGCTGAATCTTTCATCAGCTGAGGCATTTCTTTTACGGCTTACAGATCGACCCGTCCTCTTTTTATACGCCGCCATTTCTTTAGTCATAATGGAAAAGTTTAATTTAATTTCTGGGTTTGTGTCGGCTCACTTTCTTTATTTTTTATATTCCTTGATTAATTCCAATAATGTAAAATGACTTGATGGTATTCTTAGCCTCTGACGTAGTGATCTAGCATGAGGATGTGTTTCTGATAGAGACTCCAAAGCTCTTCTACAAGTCGCTCTGGATAAGGGCGTCTGCTAAAACGCTGTAAATTTAATAAAAATAAGCCGTTTATTCCAGATATAAAAGTGCAGTAATCCATGCAAATTATATGAAGTCGATCGAATCGAAGTTTACATTAGTTAGTCTTCTCATGTGTAAATTTACACACCCTCAGGAACACGAATAGGATACGGACGTTTTTTACGGGATGCGGAGGAATTGTCGGGATTTTCATGACTACCAGTTTTCTTGTGTAAAGGCTTGTGCTAATGATTTATAAATAAATCCGTTCATCTCCAGCTTGATAAATGAGGCCCAGCGTTATCACAAATATCACACACACATATCTTACATACCACACTTTCACTTCTCTCAGATCTCAGCATGTGCCATGAATTGGTTCGAAGATAAAGACCGATATTTAACACTCATGATCTCACGGAGTCTTAAATACAGACTGTGTGGTGACGTGAGTTTTGTATGATGTTTTATTTTTGCTGATTGCCTTCAGTCCCAAGTTTTTCTGTCCTAAAGACATTTTGGGGAAAAATATTTGGTCAAACCTGTTTTCCCTTCTTACAAGCTGCACACGGATTGAGTTTGTAGTGAGATTTGCACAGTTTATTTAACATTTATGGAAGGAGTCTCCAGTGTCAGTGCTTTGTAACACTCAGAGGTAAAGACGTAACTTTATAGAACGTTGCTCTTTGCTGTGGTTCAATAACAAGCTGCAATTTTTTTGTCTTATTAACGTAAAAAGAGAGAAAAAAGAGAAGCTGGTGAAGGAATGATTGTTTATATCTGCTATGACGTACATGATAACAAAAACTACTACTAACGTTTTAAAACATTAAATGTAACCGTAAATGGATAAAAATATGACGTGTCGTTCTTTAATAAATAAAAAAAAATAATTGTTGCCAAATTGCTGTCGTATAAGAGATATAAGACACTTAGGGACGTGCTGATTTTGGAAAATAAAAGTAACATCACACCATCCTGTCACTGATTATTTTCCTGTAACAGCACACCCCGGAGTCTTTTACTCCGCACTTACTGTACTTACATTTTACTGTGAAACAGGAGCTGAAGGGATATTAGTCTGAACACAGGAAGTGTGTCATCGTGATCCGACCGAATCGTGCAGGTTTAAGTATCACGTTAAAAAATCTGAAGTATGCGTGATATCCTGAAGGAGCACGCCGCTGCCTGCTGTACGATCGCCCACGGTGAACGCTCGAGACACGCCTCACACATGTTCCAGAGAAAAAGCCTAGAGTTTATCTCATCTTTAGGGCGAGGATACACGCTACCGTAGCTTGTACGTTCAAACTTGCAGAAAAACACAGCAGCTGGATTTCCATTCAAACGTTTCGTAATAATTTTGAATTAATTCTCCTAACAAAGCTTTGTTTACATCGAGTACTGATGCACAAATCCTGAGGATTTAATAAGTGACCGGGAGAAAAGACGACACTAATCAGAGCGCATGGCGGTTTTTCGCCTGTACACAGAAGGAAAAGAGACAAAACAGCAGCGATAGATTTGATGTTCGATGTTTG